CAAGGATCAACACATTCTGTCGTGACGCTACCTATCCACTTGGAAAGGATGAGCATGGTTGCTTATCGCGACCAAGCGACGACCCCCCAGCTTCACAACTTGATTAACCGCGGGGACAGATCAATGCTGACGGAGTTTTTCAAGCTGTGCGCGCGTAACCCAGAAGCTACGGTCAATCTACTGTACAAGGATGTACCGCGGAAGTACAGGTGGACAGAGCACAAGACGTGGAAACCGTATAATAATTACGTTGCTTCTCTAGGACGCTTGGTACACGTATCTCCGCAGGACCCGGAACGCTTCTACTTACGACTTCTCCTGTGTAACCGACGCTCGCCTAAGTCCTTTGCGGATCTTCGAACGGTTGATGGTACGGAACATCCTACATATCAGCAAGCAGCTTTGGCGCTTGGATATTTGGAAAATGACGACGAGTGGATACATTGCTTACGCGAAGCCGCCGAGGTCAAGATGCCGTACCAGCTACGCCAACTCTTCGGCATCATTTTGGTTTACTCCATGCCTGGTAATGCCAAAGATCTATGGGACAGGTTCAAAAAGGAAATGTCAGAGGATTATGCACGAAGCATTGAGGTAAGAGACGCAGACCTGCATAATGTACGCGAAGAGCAGGTGCGTCTTCGAATGGCGGAGTACAAGGCGTTGAAGAATTTGGCTGATTACTTGGTTTCGAACCAAAAGTCCCTCGACATGTACGGCCTTCCTCTGCTAGCCGATTACGACGATGTAGCTGCTCAAGTGGACGACCCGGATACAGCGTCTGTTGATGTTGTCCAGCAAGAGATTGATGCATACCCCCAAAACGAACTGGAGCATGTTGCGGAGCTGGTAGACCACTTGAACAGCAACCAGAGGGATATTTTTGACCAAGTTATTGCTGCTGTGAGCAGCCCGGTTGGAGGAGAGAAGCTTTTCTTTTTGGATGTCCGGGCGGAACAGGAAAGTCGTTCCTACTCGAGCAAATACTCGCTCACGTTCGGATGCAGCGTAAGTTGCATCGCGCTGCATCGAGTGGAATGGCAGCCACTCTGTTAACCGGAGCAACGGTAGAGGATTCACGATCCGGATCGCCTCAACTAACAGAGTCGTGCGACGTGCAGCCTTTCATGGCAGAGCCAAAAAGCCGAATTGATTCGTAGCGCGAGTTTGATCATTTGGGACGAAGCGCCGATGATGAACCGAGCTTGCTTTGAGGCTGTTGACAGGTCGCTTCGGGATATTATGAAGAACGAGCTGGAGCCGTTCGGCGGAAAGGTAATGGTGTTCAGCAGTGATCACCGCCAGATTCTACCTGTACTGAAGGATGCTACGCGTGCGGAGACGATTCAAGCTTGCTTCAAGTCTTCTCCCCTATGGGAGCATTTGAGTCAAGTGCGGCTGACCGAGAACATGCGTGTCCGCACCGCCCCAGACGCGGCCAGTGCGGCTGAGCTAGCAAAGTTTTCTGAATTTTTACTTCAAATTGGAGAAGGCCGTTACCCAGTCAACCATGAGATCGGTGATGGCGATATATGCCTCCAACGCGACATGTGTATCATTCCAGAACGACGGGTACAGCAAATGACCTCTGACGAAGAAGACGCGGATATGGAGCCTCCCCCAAGTTTCAGGCTACTACCTCCGGCGGACGAGGAGCACGAGCGAGACTTGGACGAAGTTGAAGAAGACCGACGAGTCCGCAGCGTCAACGCACTCATAGATGCGGTGTACCCGGGCGTTGATACTGAGAATTTACCCGATGAATACTTCGTTGAGCGAGCCATACTAGCCCCCCACAAATGCAAGTGTTCGGCGTATCAACGACATGGTTGCGGAACGGCTGTCGGGTGAAACGAAGGAGTATCTCTCGGTGGACAGCCTCGAAGGGGTCGCGGATGCAAATATGTTTGAGGAGGATTTCTTAAACTCTCTCAACTTCTCCGGTATCCCTCCGCACAGGATTGTTCTGAAGGTTGGAACACCTATCATCATGATTAGAAACCTGAATAGCGACGCATGACTTTGCAACGGAACGCGGCTTCGGGTTGTGTCACTGCGCGCGAGAAGCATCGAGGCCAGCATTATGTCCGGGCCGTTCAAGGGTAAGAAGGTGTTCATTCCTCGGATCGTCTTTTATAGTGAGGACGATGACAAGGAGTTCCCGTTCAAACTCAAGCGTAAGCAGTTCCCCGTGGTTCCAGCGTTCGCCATGACTGTCAACAAGGCCCAAGGACAATCGATCCATCACGTGGGTATATACATCTTGGAATCACCGGTCTTCGCACATGGGCAGCTTTATGTGGCGTTGTCGAGAGTGACTTCGAGGAAGGCGATCAAGATTGCTGTAGATCCAGAGGCCATCGATGAGGACGGGAACGTACACACCAACAATATCGTGTACAGAGAGATCTTTGGAAACCGGACTTGGTAAGTCACGTAATGCATTTAGCGTTGATTTCATAATATTCTTTCATCCGCCGCAGCGCAGCGGAGGCGGTCAGCCCACACTACACCAACCAACCATACTCTAGCGTCCGCGGAGCGGACGCCCAGAGCGCTAGTTTCCCGCCTCCTAAACTTGCAGCCTGTCCGTCTGTCAATAAGTCCGTCCGGTTCCTTTCTTGCTGCTTTTTCCTGCCTTTTCGCATGGCTACACTTAGCCTGTCTAATATATTTTCGTCCCATCTTACCGACCGCGCCTACCTTTCTGACTCGACTTAACTATGCCAAAATTACAAATATGACCAAAAAGCGGACACAATTAACTCGCGCCCTGATTGGGCAATACCTGCGGACCTGCGACACTGACTGGATCTGTCGCACGATCAGACCGTCTATCGCCCTCGCGATTGGACGTAAGGTAAACATTTCTGCCGAGAATGAAACACATCGATTGGCTGCAAACGGCCAGGCGAGCTGCGCAGATACTTGATTATTGCGCAAAACCTGTCGTATGTACTGCAAATCGGGCACAGTAACCACTTTATTTTCTAAGAGCTCTGCACCCTTCTAAAATAGAGATTTTTATTATTATTAATGTAGACTTCACAGACCAGTATTTTGTAAGAGCTCAGGGATGTTATTTTTCACGCACTTTTCAAAATAAAGACGATATTAATAGTATTAATATTACTAATATAAGCTTCACAGGCCGCAATTGTAAGAGCTCGGCGATGCTATTTTCCACAGACTTTCTAAAGTAGAGACGATAGTATTTTTTAATACTAAAGTAGGCTTCACGACCAGCGCTTTTTGTAGGGACTTTGCGAATATATATCTTTTTTACGTCACCTGGCACTCACCATGCCACCATGCAATGAAGGCGCGCGGCTGCACGGTCATTGCGCTATCTACTCCCGTGCACCCCACCCGACGAATGCATGCGCGCACGATAGATAATTGTTTTAGTCAATTTATATTGCATGTAATGTATGTATTTGCTGGGAAAATTTGATTTTATTATTAATATAGCAAATAAATAGTAATATTATAAAACATGCTAATATTTTGCCTAATAATAAATACCAGCCTTATATTACCGTGCTATTGGCTAATATTTGGACGCAAGTATTGGTTGAAACAATATAATTTTTGTATAAGCTGCTAACTTACTCACAGCTGTGGGCCCTACGTCCAAGCAATGCGAGGCGAAGATTGACCCGCTTCTGCTGAACCCGCAGCGGTCTACGACGGATTCCCGGGCGCGCTGCGTCTGCTGCAGGAAGCTGCAGTACGGTTATGCGCTCCGTACGATCCGTACAATCAGCGGGCGGGACATCGTGCGGCGCTGTATTGCCTGTGAGAACGGCCCTAAAGCGGTTGAGGTTTGGGAGGAAAAGCCCCCACCACCTGATTCGGCCGAAGTGCGCCGCCAGGAAAGCCTGGCGAACGTCAAGAAGGCGATGGGTCCTGACAGGTACCCCAAGAAAAAAAAAGAGGCGCAGCCGCCTTCGCAAGCTGACCGCCCGAAATGTCAAGTACAT